GTGAGGGCCGGGGCCGGGCGGAGGCGGGCTCCGCCGCCGCACCGCCTTTCTCCCTCTCCCGTCACTTCGTATCCTCAACGTAAATTACAAGTGGCTAGCGGGGGCCGCGAAACGTGACACGGCTCTGTCACGACAACGGCAGCGCTTCCGTAGCGGCGCAGCCTTAGTTCAAGGGGGTGTAAATCCTCTCTGCCTCTAACGCACCTGCGCCCGCAGCCCCTCCAGCTGACAGGGCAGAACGCGAGCTATTTCTCTGAGGCACAGCATACCGAGAGCAAACACCCCTGCGGAGGGGCGGTACCGGGCGGGGGGGTTAGGTGGTGCAAGAAAGTACACCCCGCTTAGCTCCTGCTGAAAACCATAGAGGGAGGGAGCAGAAAACGCCTTTTACTAACAGAAATGTTGGGGTTCTTCACATCTAGAGGCTGGTTTAAAGCTCCCTTGAAGCTGCTTTTCTGTACCAACCTTAACTAACTTCTTTGGTGTTAAAATACTCTGTAAGGGGTAGATTAGCTTTGCAGATACTGAGCTTGGGCTACATTATAAAAATCCAACAGAAGTATGCTAGAATTACCACTCGGTTATAGAGTCGCTAAAAGCTTCAAACTCATTCCTGAAGAGAGACCTTAATCCCAATCACAATACTCATCACTGATAATTCAATTACTACGGACACCAGCAAATAAGTATTCTCTGTCTGTATAAGGAACAGGTTAAGACACATGAATTGTTTCGCTTTCCTTTGAAAAGTTAGGTCTTGACACTGCTCGGGCAGGATTCAGAAACACCACAGCCCGTGCAGAAAGACTACCACCCCCACGCCATCCCCACCAGCTCCTCCACTTACATTGCCACAGCACGCTAACAGACATGGGCTCTGCAAGGCAACTTCCACATGCATCAGAAGGGGTGCTGCCACAAAAATGCCCACAAGCACATTTACTCCACACGATTAATGTACAAGATCCACGAGGCCTATCATTATTGCAATATAACAGTTCAGTAGCAGATTCTGGACATAATGTACATTCTGTAGGAGAGTAATCTCAAAAATATTCTACAGCAAACCAAGTAGCATTGGATATTTAGCAATTATTGTCTTGTCCTTTCATACAGATTGTTGTAATGTTACCAGCAAATTGTACAATATTGATGTTCTAGGCTACAGTCAAGTTACACTGCTAGTTCACTCTGAACTTTATTGTTGCAGTTAGGACACCCCCCCCCCAAAAAAAACCAAACAAAAAACCAACCCACCCAGCTTCCCTGCTATCTTAACTCTGAAAGAGGAGCTCTATTTCTCTGAAAAATTTAAGACTGCAGAAGTCTTTAAGTTAACATTGTCACAAGGTAAGTGTAATACTTTCCAAAGTAGAACAAAAAACCCCCAATCAATCCGACTCAAGTTGCGTTAAAGGGAAATCTCTTTGCAAAATGAAAGTTCAGAAGGGGCAGAAAGTTAAAAAAGCAATCATCTAATCAAAGTAACACTGAGATTAAACAGCACCTTCTTCTGTTGACTTGTTGAATTTCTTATCATCATTCAGTGTGAAGAAAAAAAAAAAAAAGCCTGAATTTGGTCAGCAGAAGATTGGATTATAAAGGATCAGTCAGCTAGACTTCAGCCCTTCCCATTGCCTCCCTCCCGCAAAATACAGGGTTTGGAAAAATAAGCAGTGTTTATTTACTAACAATGACATAAAATACATCTTAATATATTTTTATTTCTTTACAAATTAAAAGATGCATTGGAAAAACAAGTGAAGAAAATGAAAGGTTCATTTATGATTTCATTTCCACCCCCACACCCCCCAATATTAATACTAGAAATTAGTATTTGTGGAAGTCTGTGGTTGCTGTGCCTTATATTCCTGGGAAGTTCTTTTTCTCCTCTGGTTAAAAATCCTCTAGATTTTTTTGGTTGGAGGCAGTACGTGGAGTAAAAATTCGGCCACATTCATACAAAAAAGCTGAAGGTTCTGTCAGCTACATCTTGAAAGAGTTTCTCCATTATAATTTTCATACTCCCCTTTCGGTGTAGTGATGGGAGGGAAGACAAACTAGCAGCATTAGACGAAAAATGAATTTATATACATGCTACAGGATATGGAACTAAAACCACAGCCAGATATTTTTCTGATCTTAACAAGGACTTTCCTCTGAAATATCAAGCCCAGATAATACGTTCTCTAATCCACCCACATTCTTCCTTCCACTTTTAGTGCTACTGGTAGCTTAAACTCCTGGGTATTGTAAGAACACTTGTTAAGTGTTCAAGCTAAAATATACAAGCCCCCTTTCAAAAGTGAATAAACGAAGCCCTTAGAATTCTGAATTTGATTTACACTCGCTCCCTCTTCACAGGAGTATTCTCATCCACCCTTACAGAATAGAGCAGCAGAGTGGCCAAAGTGGATGGATTAATCTGTCTGAGGTATTTTAGTTTAACAAACAGGCTTATAAAAAGGTTTTGTGCAAGCTGATCAGTAGGTAGAATGGGGGAGGGTATAAACATCCAGTAATGAGACTCTTCACTATGGCCCAGATGCTTTCAATAAGTGAAATCAGGTACTTGCAATACCTACTACAGTACAGTCTAAATCTTAGTATTTGTATCCCCTTCCTTGTATTCCAGGATACAAAGCAGTCTTAAATTTGCATCAGTATAAATCAAATTCCTGCTTGTTTGCTATGATTCACAATAATATTGTTGAAAACGGCCACTTCCTTATCATCCAGTTCCTAGACAGCCCCACATCACCTTGTTAAAAGTATTTTCTGCTTAAGGTTAAGAGGCTTTTGTTCCCACCACCATCTGGATAGACAGGTAAGCTCTGCAGGAGAGGCCATGGAACATGGATTGAGTAGGACATTAGAGCTGTGCAATGAGAAGGAAAGGAGTCACCACACACGCCAATGGGAAGCACTGTCTCTACCCCTACACTGTTCAGAAGCTGTTGATTGTTGCTCACTGAACTACTACTTACTCCATTACAGATCTGCACAGCAACTTATAGTACAGGGAAGATTGTGGAAAGAAGTTTGCCCTGTTACCTCCTGGCTTACCACTCTTTTCCTTTTTCATGGATTTCTGGTTCAGGCAGCCACATGATACATTTGTGCTCTGCAACGTCATGATTCCTTCTGAAGAGGAGACAGAAAATGTTTGGCTGCTCCAGCTCCCATCACCTGACCTGCCTCTTGTCCTCCCCACCTGCACATCCTCTTCACACTTGGAGCATGCACACGCGCCCATACAAACACACAGCAACTACCAGAAATTTTGAAGAGTTATCGCGTTTTCACCCAATGTTGAATCATGTACAGTGAACCAAAAAAACTACATTCATTACGACAGGATTAGCGAGCATGGGGGGGTGGGGTGGGGTGGGTGTGTGAACTCCTGCCAAGCACAGGAAACAATTCAGATGCAAGTAAAAGACCTGGTATCAAAGGCCTTTTTTTTTTTTTTTTTAGCCCTCACCAGGAAAATTTTTCATCTCTCATACGGGACTGGGAGAAGTTGAAAGGATTTCTGCTTATGCAATGTGTATTAAAAATTATGGAATTGTACAGATTTCTATGTTGTCCTTTTGGAGGGCGCTGGGCCTTCTGATCAGGTCATTAGTGGAGACTGAAATGTCACTGCTGAGTTCCAGCATCACTCCCTCCTCTAGCTCAGTAGCTGCCGAATCTCCTTGTGCATGTGACACAGGAAGTCCACATATGAAGCTCCCCCACTTAGGCTCTTGTCCTCCACCAGAAAGTGTTTGAACAGCATTTCCAGCTTATCTTCTTGCTTCACAATTATTAACTACAAAAACCAAAACAAGAACAAAACCAACAGTGAGTAGTTAGCAGAATTATGTTCTTGGAAAAAGGAGCAAAAAGGTAAATAGCTCAAAAATCCAAAAAGAGATAACCAGAATCACAGCATATATGGCTTATGTGCTTTGACTTCTGTAACTAAGCTGGGTTAAGTCTCAATCCTTTCTAAACAGAAGGAAAATACCATGTACATGGTTTGTGCAGTAGTATATTATAATAGGTCTGAAAAAAATTAGTTTTAGAACTATGGTAAGCACAGAACTCCAAAACTAGTAACAAATTTTCTTTCAGATCCTTGAAAACTTTGTTTGAATTACATTTATGAAATCAGGAAGAATAAGTTCAGCATTGCAGCATTACCAGGCATCACCTGCTCTACTAAAAGGGAAGGGGATTTAAAGCTATGAATGGGGGACAACATTTTTACCTTCATGTAGCGGGATCTCTGCACTTGAAGCATGTCAACAATAGATCGTACTTTCTTTGAAAAGGGGTTTTCCAAGACAGGCAGGGTACTCTGGAATGAAAGTTATCCAATCCCCATTAGTCACACGAAGTAGAGGCAAGATTAAACAAAACTCAGCAGTTTTGTCATCTTACATAAGGGTAGAGATGCATCTACCCCCACTGACATGTAATCTCTTTGATCTCAACTAGTTAAAAGAGAATGTAACATGATATCAGAATTAAAGGTCAATTATTCATTCCATTTATGTATTGACTGTTTTCCTCACTGTCAGTGGAGATGTGGAATGTCAAATAAAGCTAGATAAAAACATGCCTGACGTGCCCAGACTAGGGACATTTCCACTAGTTTCACATCTGTGCTTCTCTTGTTCCCAGTATGAAAAATTTAACACTATTTTCTCAGCTTTCTTTCTCATTGTTCTAAATTTTGGGCTACTATCACAGACACTAGCTCCTGCACTGCCATCCAGCTCACCAAGGCGCTGCTAATCTGACTGAAGGATGACACTCCAAAGAGGTTCTGGATCAGGCCTTGCTGCACGTTGACTCCCACCCACACAAAGATGTTTAGCCCATTCTCCAGCAGGTATATGTCACCCTTGGA